TTGTTGGCCACCTGATGCAAGGATTTCCTCTTCTCACCTACTATTTATGTAGGATTATGCTTGGATTGGTTTTAACTATTACAAGTTTTTTAATATTGGTTTTAATTTAATTTTTAATGACTGATCAGAGTTTTAAAGTTTGTTTGAACTGATTATATTTAACAACTGCTTTGAGCATCACGGAAGAGCACTGCCTTAATATTAAAAAATATCAATTAAAGTGTAATTTTTGAACTGCAGCCAAATTAGCAAAATTATTCAGGATGATGAAAACCAAGGGACAGAGGGGTGAGTGGTTTTTTATTTGCTTTCAGCGGAGAGGATCCAGCTGAGGATTTTGGTGGGAGAACTGGTCTGGGAGTGTGTGGAAGCGCTTGGAGTTTTTGCAGATTCCTGGCTGCTTGAGAGAGGAAAGGGCATTGTTTGACTGTGATTGACTGCAATTGAGAGGAAAAGGAAGGGGCATTGTTTTGCATGTGATTGAGTGCCTGGGTGCATTTGAATAGCTGCTGCCAGCCCTCTGCTGGGGGAGGCCTCTATTTAAGGAAACACCTGGCCAGAGGCAGAGGAGACCCAGCTGAGCTCTGAGCAGGAGCAGGAGCAGGAGACAGAGGGGTGAGTGGTTTTTTATTTGCTTTCAGCGGAGAGGATCCAGCTGAGGATTTTGGTGGGAGAACTGGTCTGGGAGTGTGTGGAAGCGCTTGGAGTTTTTGCAGATTCCTGGCTGCTTGAGAGAGGAAAGGGCATTGTTTGACTGTGATTGACTGCAATTGAGAGGAAAAGGAAGGGGCATTGTTTTGCATGTGATTGAGTGCCTGGGTGCATTTGAATAGCTGCTGCCAGCCCTCTGCTGGGGGAGGCCTCTATTTAAGGAAACACCTGGCCAGAGGCAGAGGAGACCCAGCTGAGCTCTGAGCAGGAGCAGGAGCAGGAGACAGAGGGGTGAGTGGTTTTTTATTTGCTTTCAGCGGAGAGGATCCAGCTGAGGATTTTGGTGGGAGAACTGGTCTGGGAGTGTGTGGAAGCGCTTGGAGTTTTTGCAGATTCCTGGCTGCTTGAGAGAGGAAAGGGCATTGTTTGACTGTGATTGACTGCAATTGAGAGGAAAAGGAAGGGGCATTGTTTTGCATGTGATTGAGTGCCTGGGTGCATTTGAATAGCTGCTGCCAGCACTCTGCTGGGGGAGGCCTCTATTTAAGGAAGCACCTTGCCAGAGGCACGAGCCTCTGGCACGAGCCGAAGGGCGAGCTAAAGGGCTCTTTGCCCGTGGCTCTTAGCCCAGGGACTCTTGGACTAGGGGCTCTGTGAGACGCCCAAGAAGAGGCAGAAAGTGAAAACCCTAGGCTCCTTGTTTTCCCCATAAAGTAATTTGACTTTGACAAGAAAAAAACACATAAATACAAAGGGATTTAAAAGGGGGATTACATTTACTTATTTTAAAAGAATTATGAAGCCAGAATGCCAGCAGGGGGTTGGGGGCTATCCAGTGTTTTGCACAGAGTGTCACATGTATGACTATCTGCCCACTGGGCAGAAGTCTTGGGTGTGTGCTCGGTGCAAGGAGCTCCTGGTTCTCAGGGAACGTGTGTGCTCCCTTGAGGCCAAGGTGGCTGACCTGGAGAAGCAGAGACAGTCAGCTAGGCGCACAGAAAAGACTCTCGGGGACTTGTTAGCTACGTCCCACTCTGGATCTGGCAGCCCCGCTGCTGTCAGGGAGCATGAGGGTCTAGGGGAAACAGGGCACCGTGCTGAGGATAAGGGGAATGTGCCCTCAGAAGGGACCTCTTCCCCAGCTGGTGAGCGGTTATCCTTTTGCACCAAGGAACCATCCCTGGGCAGGGTGGGAGGGGGGCTCTTGGTAGTGGGTGATTCGATCCTTAGGCAGGTAGACAGCTGGGTGGCGAACCCGCGTACTGACCGTATGGTGACTTGCCTGCCTGGTGCAAAGGTAGCGGACATTACGCGTGTTTTAGATAGGCTGGTAGATAGTGCTGGGGAGGAGCCAGTGGTCGTGGTGCATGTCGGCACCAACGATGTGGGGAAATGCAGTCGTGAGGTCCTGGAGGAGAAATTTAGGCTGCTGGGCAGGAAACTCAAGGCCAGGACCTCCAAGGTAGCCTTCTCAGAAGTGCTACCTGTTCCACGCGCAGGGCCGGAGAGACAGGCACAGATCAGGAGTCTCAATGCGTGGATGAGACGATGGTGTAGAGGGGAAGGGTTCAGGTTTGTTAGGCACTGGGATTCTTTTTGGAACAAGAGGGAGCTGTA